GAAATAAAAAAATGGCCATGAGAAAATTTTTTTGTCTATCACCACGTTTCTTCCTACTGTAAAAAATAAGCAAAATATGTAAGATGGTGAAGTTAGGTGAAATACACTATATATAGACACATTAATGCGATTCATGCACACCATGCGGTGGATTATGGTACTAATCGGTAATTTCTAAGCACGTGGAACGTAGACGCGTTTATGAACGTGTTTTTGAGTTCATGGGTGTGTTACATGTCTGCGAACAATTGTCTGTCAGTATGAACTAGGCTTAAGCGAAATGGAGAGAAAAGCTCGTCAGCTGATTCATTGTCCAACTACTTGTGTATTGTTTTATTGAAGTTTCAAGACGAGTAAGAAATTAGACAAGACAAATATTTACTACTCTTGCATCGGTATAATTTCAAAATGATTATATCTTGAAAAATTGAAATGTTTTTATTAACGAGGATATGCTATGCATTATGTTCATTAGTTTCTTCCTTTAATACTTATTCCTTGCAGTATTTGTTGTGTGTATCGTTACGACATTGGAAATATTTTATTAATAGTGGATACTTTATACGCAGGCATTGACAATAGCATTGCTAGACCTGGCACTGCTATTAAAAACTCAGATATAGGGAATGATCCAAGTAGGATGTATCTTTAATTTAAGAGTTCCTTGAATTATAGAGGAATTATAAAATGAATGTAGTTTCTTTTCCTAATGGTCGTGTTCTTGAAATTGCGTTTTAATATTTTACAAATAACTACTGTTACGTTATAAATAGACAGCGATAACAGTTTTGTTCTCTCTTGCTCCAAGGAAGACAATTAGGAGGTAAGGATTCCTCTAAGCTTAGCTGGAGGATGCAGAATCTAAATCCTGGCTTGAAAAACAGGAAGATCCATACAAGGCGAAATGCATAGCTTATGACAAAATTGTTTTACTAATGTTTCAATAGCAAAGTATAATGTGAAAAATAATAATAAAATATTAAATTTTTGTATTATTATTAACAAAATGGGAGATAAAAGAGAATTGGGAAAACATAGAAGGAAGCAAAATGCGTAGCGTGACTATGCAAAAATAGAAAAGAAGAAAAGAAAGGAGGAGAAATCTATGAATCGTTAAGAAGAAATTTTGTTAAAATAACGCAAATAGCACTGCCGCGTTTAAACACCGTGCGCCCCTAAAAGAAGCAAAATTTCAGCTGTCATTAAAAGTGCCATAAATGAATCCGTCATTTTAGAAACAACAGAAATATTGCGAGGTAAATGCTTTTCTGTTTTAATAGCTGAAATCACAGACACATCCGATAAGGCAATTATATATTTTTTAATTCGTTATGCTCACAAAGAATAGGTACACGAGATTTAATTATCGGATTTGATTGGAATTATAAAATGTACAGCGGAAGATTCTTGTACGAACGTTCTTTATATTCCTGAACAAAATACAATTTGTTTATAAATAATATCGTTGACGTATGCGTTGACAATGCGAATCGAATTTCTAGTTTATCTAGAGACAATGATGAAATTTCTGTCTCCGGATGAAATATCTGTGCAATATATTTTCTTGTCCGAGGCGTCATTTTCGAGAAAAACCGAATTTGAAAATTTGTCAAGTATACTTAAACTTGGCTAACTTAATTAGGCGTAAGTAAATAATCGACAAGAAGTTATTCTATACGCGTAGGTAAATTAAAAATGTGGAATAAAATTTTTCTATTTAGGGTACAATTTTAAGCTCGTTTTCAAGAAAATAGGGTTTAGATAGTCGTGTTTAGTTAAGGATTGGCCTACTACGCGCGTATGATAAATTATCGCATTCATTTTTCTCGAGAACAAATCGTCTTGGGAAAATATTTCGCCCTGTATTTCTCACTTATTCTCACGTGTAGAATAACTTTCTGTCGATTATTTGTTTCTGTCCAGTCCAGATTTAGCTATGTATGTTCAAGCACGTTCGATAAATTTTCAAACTCGATTTTCTCAAGCACTAAGCTTGGGACAAAAAATTTTATTCTACGTTTCCAAGTTGCTTTTGTTCGTAAAATAACCCTTTAGTCCATTAATCACGTTATACAGCACACCCTGTGTATATTTTTGTCTCAATAATTCAATTGTCATTTGTTCTTTTTACAGTGAGTATGATCTGTCCTTTTTTGGAGAAACATTATTTCATGTTATTAAACATATTATTATTTAAATTGTTCTATAATTTGATATTATATCATATTATTATTATTATATCGCATCGTTATTTATATTATATAATATCTATACATAATATCATATATGTTATTATATTTATAATATAATTATATTATGTATTATAATATTATAAATATTATACTGTATGCATTATATATATCATATAATATAATAACACATAAAGTGATATATATATATAGATATCATATAATATAAATAACTATTCAATATAATAATATTGATATATTAATATGATATTATATTTATAATAATATATTGTATATATAATATACATTCAATATTTATAAAATTTATATTCTAAATATTAATATATAATTAATAATATTGATATTATATAATATGTATGGATATGATATAATATAAATAACGATACGATGTAATAATAATATGATATGATATCAAGGTATAGCACAATTTAAATAATAATATTACATAATAAAAAAATTATATATGTAATATAACAATAAATACATGTTATTATCATATTATATCATATTAACTGCTTTATATCAGATTTTTAAGTTTTTCGTTTTGTAGTTATGAGATGTAGTAAAAATCGATTCGGGAAATATATACCGGGTGTCCCACTACTGATAGTACAATCCAGGAGCAGAGGGATCTACATGAAAAGATATTTTTTTACATTTGACGCTTCGTTCTCGAGAAAATTGACTTTGAAAATTTGATTGCTATATGTAAATTTCGATAGTTACCGATTAGATACGAGTAAACCATCAGCAGGAGATTATTCTACCTACGAAAATATTTGTTCATTTAAGACATCGTTTTCAAGGAAATAGAGTTTGTCCGGTATGCACGTATTTGATCAATTTTCAAATTTTATTTTTTCGGAAACGAAACTTTCTAAGGAAAAGTTTTTTCCTACTTTTTTGATCTACTTTCACTCGGATAACTTGCTGTCAATTATTCGTTTCTGTCCCGCTCGAAATTAATCGAGTTTGACTACACTTGACAAACTTTCGGGATCGATTTCCTCGAAAACGAAGCGTCGTATGAAACAAAACAATTTTATTCCGCATCTTCGATTTGCTCTTTCACGTAAAATCACTTTCTCGCTGATTGTACCACCAATACCGGGACACCCTGTATATCATATCCATAAGCGACATCTATGTACAGTGGAAACTCCAGTATTCGAATTAATGGAAAGCTATAACTGATCTAATGAGGAATTATTCGGATAACAGTAATATCTTTTCATAATTATTTATGGAAATTGCACTTGCTTAGTTGTTGTATATATCCTAAATTACAGCTGTTTGAGTACTCGAGAGCTAGTAATTAACTGTAAGGTTAGGTGTAAGGTTAGCCACAAGAGGAGATTGGTCCTCGTTCGAAACAGTATAGTTTCTTTACATCGAAAAGATCGGTAATTAGCTGATTTAATTATTCGTGAGAGTAAAAACGAGACAAATTGAAGATTTACAAAGAATTTACGAGATTTAACAAATTTCTACGACGTGTAAAAAAAGAAAATTATCATCTGTTGTCAACTAAGCATATCCATCGAGCAAATTTTATAAGTCAACATCGCATCTTTGTTCACCATTTTCTGCTCTTTAATAAATAAATCAGAGCAGTGTTTTAAATAACTCAACGCAGAAATTAAAGTATACAGTAACAAGGAACTAGGAACCCTAACAGTTATAACTAAAACGACTAAAAGTTGCAGTATAAGAGCTAGTAAATAATTTTAACTGATTTTGGTTATGAATAATCGTTATGAATAACCAAAGTATTATTGGTTATCGATAACCACTATCGACGACAGAATTTTTTTGGTTACCGATAACCGTTATTGCGACAATTTTTTTTGGTTACTCATAATTATTATACATAAGAAAATTGTTTTTAATTGTCGATAATCATCATCCATAACATAATCCTTTTTTTAGTAATCAGTAGTTAATATTTATGATGGAATTCTTTTTATTTACTGAGAACTATTATCGACGGTAGATGGTTACCGATTTTTGGTTACCGATAACTGTTATCATGATAATTTCATTTTGGTTGCACGTAATCGTTATATATAAGGAAATTGTTTTTGGTTGTCGATAACCATTATCCGTAACATAATTCTTCTTCTTTTTTTTTTTTTGTCACCATTGACTATTATTCGTGACGGAATTTTTTTTGATTACCGATAACCTCTATCGATGACGTAACATCTCTTTTTGGTTACCGGTAACCATCACCAGTAACGGAATGTTTTCCTCGTCATCGTCAGTTGTTAACATTAATGATAATCGGTATTTAGCCTAAAGGCATTAAAAACAGATTCACTATTTGTTTTTTACATGCAACTTTCTTAACTCGTTAAACGGGTAGAACAGGTATATTCACTTCAGTTAATTGCTCGCTCGGTATGCCAAGTAGCCAAAAAGGAATCTCTTATCGATAATGGTTATCGATAAGCAAAAAAAAAAAAGAATTCTCCCCTTGTTAATGATTATCGGTAACCAAAAACATTGTGATTGTTTATAACGGTTGTTCGTAACCAAAATCGGTTGAAATAATCTACCGATTCTTATATATGGAATTTGTTTCATTTCGATTATAGCTGTTATGGTCCCAGGTTCTAAGTGAGCGTAGACGTCCTTCTTTTCGAGTGATAATTCTGTCCACGAAGGGCATAAAGTAAAACGAATGGAGGAATGAATGAAATATTGGTTGAATGCAGTGATGATCAGTAGAATCTCAGTATCTAATTTTCCACATCTGGTGAAAATACATTTTTCATTGAAATTTTAAAGCCTACGTGACATCGAGGTTTCCCACAGTCGACGTGAGCAGCGTGAAGCAAGTGTTGGCTTACAAGTGCAAGGAGAACTCGACGGCACTCAAGATGAAATCTATTAGATACATTTGGTGAGTCCAATTTAATTTCCGATTCATCCTCTCGCATTTTTTTTTCTTCTTTATCTTTCCTTCGATCGTAAACCGAGACTTTCAGTTATTGCACTTCATCAACGAGAACTTGCTAAATTTTCATTCGAGTGTCATCGACGTTTGAAATTAAATGAAAATTTGCTTTTCGCACGACAATTATAAAAATCCATGATGTTAAAATAGGTATAGAAAATCATGCAGTTTTATTTACTGGTGAAAAGTATTTTCTGTTAATTATATATTTGCGAATATCGTTAATAATATTAATTCCCTACGATTCTGAATCATTAATCGTTATAATAGATTAGACCGGAAATTATGGTAGATTAAACCAGTAATGGTTTAAAAAACTGCTGTGACAAAAGGAACGCTGTGCGTTTGCATTTAAAAATGGTATTTAAATCGTTTGCGAGGTTTAATACCCAATAAATGAAAATGTAAATTCTGGCACTTTTTGTCGGCGTAAGCCTCCTCATATTTGCATAAAATTGTTTCTTTCAGCCTGCGAGGCGCTTTGACTTTTAAATTAAAGATTCTGGGCATAAACAAATGTTTTCCATTACTGAAAGATACGCAGCATTTACTACTTTAATATTCCGCAGAATTTTAAAGATGTTCCCTTATTCGGATAAGATAAAACGGAAATAATAGCCTTTCTAATAATCTGGCAGACTTACAAACTTCTGTTATGTCTTCAGATACACAATTTATATTTATATTACTTTCTGAGTGTACTCATTGAACGCGGTACATATATACAGTCCTAACCTAAAATTTTCTTAAGACTTATCCTATTTGACATTTTGGTTATAATATTGAGTATAAACATGTTGTAAATAGAAGTAGTATAATTGAAGTTATTGTGGTATTTCATTTTTCTAAAACGATATCCGATCAATACTTGTTTGTTTCTATTCTGTGTGTCACGTAACGTTAATTAGAAGTTTTCTTATATAATACCTGATGGCCATATAGCAGACACACGACACAAGTATACCTGAACAGCGTTAAGCCTGTTACACACGTAACTATATACTTTATATACTAGTATACTAGCGGTATACATATACAAAATTTCACAAGTGTACACGAGCGTGTGTATGATAATATCGTACAAGTATTTTCATTGTACGAGAAATATAAATACGTTTAAACATCCATACTTGTACAAGCCGTGTGCGCAAGTGTACCTTAAGCCGGTTGTACACTTGAGCGGTGTACATGTACGAATTTACTGCACAAGTATATCTGACAGCCATATAGTTCTCACACGACACGATTATACCTGAATAGTATTAAACAGGCTACACACGTACATAACTGCATATTTGAGCGATATACACGTACAAATTTATTGCACAAATATACATGAGCGTGTATATTTTAATATTGTACAAGTATTTGAACTGTACAAGTAACATGAAAATGTTAGAATTTATATTGAGGAACTTAGTAGTAGAGGCGTGACTTAAATTTTAACCCTCTGGTGGTAAGATTGCAAACTGCTGAAAGTAGTCTAGTCAATTAGCTGGTTTATTTATATTCCAAACACTCAATAGCTTCTAACAATTTAAAACTTGTTTAATATTCTATAAAGTAGTTTTGTTTTTCTTTACAAGTAGTCCTTGTTAATATACTAAGTTCTGTGTTAATTGAAGAGGTTGGAAGACTAACTGATGGAATTGTAGTATTCTTTAAACGACGTATGCGACTATTTAGAAGAAAAAATTTAAATAAATTTCTTGCACGACTTCTTTAAATTCATGAATTTTATGTCCATTTCTATTTATGATTGCAATAATACTTGGAACAAAATCTTTTTTTGCTAAAGTATAATGAGTATACTCTATATAATGATACACTTTTGTCCATTGTTATATTTTTAACCCATGCACTGAAGCAGTCAATAATTTCCTCTTGACTTTATTTATTTTTTAGTTACACTGTAGGTTTTCAGTTCTCTGAAAGATAAAAGAAAATGATAAAACGGACAGCGTCATTTTGACATACAACTGTACACACAACAATATATATTATTTTTATTTATTTCTAGAAGAAGTTCCATTGCGTAAATTTTTATAATTACATAAATAATTACACGACTGTTGTTATACTGATCAATTCGCAGGCATTAAAACGAATTTAAAACACGTTCTTTACAACGTGTCCCTTTAAATATTAATGATCGTATAGGTGATAGATACTCGATCTATTCTCGGTAGTTCAATTTTCTGCTACTAGTTGGCGTATCGAAATTCACAGTTTCCTAATCGTGTAGTACCACTACAGTGAATTTTGCTTATAATGTACGTGCCTGATAGCGCATGCGTCGATATTGGTTGCCAACCTAACCGAATCCAAACCTAATTCTTATCTTTTGTCTCTAGTTTATATAAACGTAAATTAAGCGACGTGGTACACATGTCTCCTATGCTTGTAGCTGTGTCGCAGATGGACACGTACCTACAGGCATAATTTATTCTTACGCACTAAATTTATACAAGTACACCGCTCAAGTATACAATTACGTGCATAGTTGATTTGGCTGCACTGGAGTATTTAGGCCTACGTCTATTGGGCCGTATAATACAACATGAAAAAGCTTATGAGTAGAGGAATCCCACATTGGTTACAGCTACTGCAAATGTAAACGTTCTATTCTATTTATATAAACTTCCTATTTAGAAAATATGGGTTAAAATGTGTAAACCTGGTAGTAGAATAGTCTGAGCCAAACCTAACATGATCTGACAACGCAACCCAACTCTACAGTAATATTATAGTAAGACCCATATAAAAACCAACGATATTTGCTACCATGAAGTATCATCTAACACATAGGGAAATATGTGCGATCGATGACTATTTGTCACAGTGAATCTACCTTTCAGTCGTGTATCACATGATCTTTCTTGAATTTTAGTAAATTATTATTATTATTATTAAAATTTATTATATTATTATTATTTTATTATTATTATTAATTTTATTATATTATAAAATTTAAAATAGTTTAAATATTTTATTTATATAATTTAATATAATTTAATAGAATTAAATTTTTATTTTTTAATTAATTTGTCATAATAAATAGAGTATTTTAATATATTAATTATTTTAAAATTTATATTAATTTTATTAAGAGGTGAATATTAATATTAAAATGAATTGTTTTAAATTATGTTATGCGGCAAGATTGTGTTGAAAGTTTGCAATTTTCCCTTGCCCCCCCCCCCCCCCCCCCCCCCCCCCCCCCTCCTATCTCTGTGTCTAACCTAACCCTAATCCCCCATAGGATGTTGTTCCACGACTGTTGCTTCTCTATAATGTACTTGAATCCATGGGATGCTACCTACTCGTTTTCTGTTAATTTTGTTATTCAGGTGCTTTTATATTCTTCCTTTGTATTTTTTAATACGGTTTACTATCTCCTCGGACAGAGTTGGTATTTTTTTCTCTGTGCATTTTCATTTCTGGTCCACATGTACATAGTAACAAATACACTTAAATGAAATAAACTTTCTGCAAGAAGAATGCATTTTTTATCGCAATTTGACCTATATTTTCTGAATGGGATGTTCGCTGCTAGGATGGGATGACCTTGACCACCTTTATTGGATTCCTCTGCTCATGAGTTTTCCAGCTCATTGGAAATTGGTTGGTGTATCGTATGGTCCAATAGAACTATAAATTATAGTACTGCCGGTTTAATAAGTCCATCAATTTAGTTAAACGAAAAAGTGCAACATTCTGTGCTTGCTACGTTGCTGATCCTGTAACGGGTAACTGAACACATTCTTAGGAAACGTTTCTGCATGTTGATCTATGTAAATACGTAGATGTTTCCCTTTTCCAATAATATTTCCATTATGATGCTTATTTATGGTATTTTATGATTCGCATATTTTTTGAAAATACATGAAAGGAAACTTCACTTAAATATCGTATAATATGCGATCATAAATGATGAAGAAGAAGAAAGAAAACAAATCAAAAATAGAAATCAACTTTTTGAAAATAATGCAACGACATTCTTAAATAATTATTCGACAGCACTCTAAAAAAATAATAATAATAAAATAACAAAATATTCTTACCTCGATTAAAAAAAGAAAAAAAAATTTAAATTTCTTCCATAGGTGGTCTGAAATTTTTGCACGTACCGTATGTTTGTATAATATCAATTTGTATAGTAGCATAATTAAATTTACCTGTAAAAATGAAATTATTAATTTTCAATGGAAACAAGTTGAATTAAATATGAGAATCGCAATTTTATTTCTCAGTGAATGGAAAAACTCAGCAGCGACATTAATTTAAATTAACACATTATATGCACTTGATATTTAAACCATGAAAAATGAATTATTGTACGTGACAATTTCGTACTTTTCTGTTTTTTATTTTAGAATTTAATTGTATATTAGTGAAAGTAATAACTGAATTTAGCAGAAGCAGTCACGATAAACAATTTAATTTATATAATTTATAACAATAACTATTCTTCTAATTCACTCATAAAATATTTATTTAATTCATTTAATTCATAAAAAATGTTTATTTAATTTATTTAATTCACTTTATAAAACAAGCATAAGATTTGCTGATACAAAAATATGAATTTTCTTTTGTTATAATTTTTTAGTCACATTATGATTATAAATATTCCAAAAATTCCGGGGAAATAACATTTTTTTCGAACAATTAATCAAATTTTCAACGTACAGGATCTAAGGAGTCCATCTGCTTACTGGATCGTTTTCGACCAACAATTTTCAGCCATTTTTCATTCTTCCCACATTTCTGTTTCAATTTTACTTTGTTTAAAAAGACTGAGGTAAACGAGGTAACAGTAAAAACTACTGGATGATGTTTTAGGAGCTTGAAAGAGCCTTCAGAAGTTTTTTTGGATCTTTTAAAACGCAAAAATTTAATAAAAAAAATTGCATAAACTTAAATGACCCGTCATGGAGATGAATTCAGTAAAGTGAAGATGAAAGATAAATATATCATTATTTATATTAAATAGTACAAAAAATCCTATTAGCTTTTCTTACTTTATTCTTATTCACGTTAACTGATCGTTTAAATTACCTTTATTTTCCCTTGAAAAATCAATAGTTGATTTTCCACTACATATCACTACATTCCACTACATTTCCAATTGTATTTACCAATAAATGCAATTATTTGCTTACACACGTGTTTACACACGTTTCTGTAAAAAACAGGTTAATAGTTTCTATATTATTAGTTGATTATCGTAAATAGGCATCAAGTAAAACAAGAAAAATTAACGTTTCCTAAGTATTTCTCAATGAAAAATTAATATTCCTTGCAATTAAAAATTTTGTACACATTCAACTAATAGCACAAACGTTAGATACATGAAATGCCCAAGACTATTATATCATATTCTATTGCAGCGATTAAGAAATTTATGCGCCATTATACTATTTCCATTCAGGAATTTTGTGGTTCTTCGTTAAAAGAGACTTCTGTCATGCAGACATTCAGCTGTCTCATTTATACGTTCTTCAGACTGTTACATTAATATTTCATTACATACGTTTAAGAACACTTTAAAACGATAGGTACGCGTTTTAATTGGGTTCAATAATCGCATCCGGTCATTCAGAGGAAGTTGTAGTTACGACTGTTCTTCCTTTCTGATTAATCGTAAGCTTTTTAAAATTAATTCCTACGTATCGCTCGTGATACAGTTAACTAATTTCATTAAGGAATCTTGTGCAGTAATTAGTCTAGGATCCAACGATTTTAATTGCAACGAAGAATGCTTTGAAACAAATCGCATTAATCACGCTTGTATTACGGACAACATGAAGTACTTGCATATACTCGGTGTTTCGTGATAAATGGGCAACATTTGAGGGACAAATTCAGCACCCCCCAAAAAAGAAAAATAAAAGATAAAAAAAGATTCGTTTTGGCATATCGCAGTGTGTTATACTGTACAATATATACAATGGGTTGGTAAAAAAAATGTCCAAGAATTTAAGGGCTTATATTACTCACCAAGAGTATTTTATATTTATTTAAAATCTTAGTAGGTGCTGAGTATACGATTGATTTCATATCGTCAAAAACAGCTAATTGGTTAGAAATCCGATGGATGGATGCACTGAAGAAATGCAAGGTAGTTATTTTTAGCATCTCCTACGAAGGTAATTAGATACGGAATGACAGAATGTTAAACTCGCTATATCTCGTAAACAGGAACTCAAAATTTTTAGTTTTTGAATTATTGGTACAGGTAGAGCATGTACTTTCACTACCTATAAGTGAACTTTAAAAATTCACCACGCGAGGGCAGCTGTGTCGCTATTGCATCATCACGAAACTATAACAGATTAATCGCAAATCATGCTGAAAAATACAAACAGAAGCTATCCAATCACCCAAATACTTTCACAAACGATACACAGCCGACCTATCCTGAGGAGATTAATTAAAAAACATCGGAACGATTCAACAATTTAAGAAACGGTAAGGGAAACATATAAATATAAATTGTAAATTAGTACAAATTGTGAGAGGTTATGCAATGATATATCGTACTATTCTTTACATTTAATACTACATATGTATAATAGGAAATAATTAATATTCCAGTACATTAGTCTTTGCATTTCCCACATACGTTTCACGTATACCAACCTCCAAAATAATTCCACAAAAATACATTGTATAACATTGTTGAACGTCCCCAAGACAAATTGCTGTTTTTGCAAAGAATATATGGGAGAAGATAACAATTCGGAACATTCAAACTCGTGTTCCCTAAAATCGTGACCTTCGAGTGATATTATTGCTATATAATAAATAACTGATATGTTGATATCAGTATTTTTCTGTTGTGGTGTCGAATTATGTGCTGAATCCGCCTCTTAAATATCGCCAATTTATTACAAAACACCGTGTATATAATTTTTATGTGTTTCATGAATGTCTTTTATATACGTTTCTTAATACTATAATCTTTTATAATATAGGTATCTACACTGCCGACCATAAGTACGTATTAGGACACATACTCGTTATATTTATTGAGAAATTTGTGTAATTAAATTTACTTCATTTAATAAACCTTATAAGACACACGAATAACAAAATTTATGATAAAATAACCAGAAAATAAAATCTGTGATAAGCAGTCAATTTATACTAAGTATCAGCAGCTGTCCTAACCACGTATACACGTACTTATGGTCGGCAGTGCACAATAAAAAATTTTACACAAATCTTTTATTAGATATATGTATATGAAAGGATACCAAAACAGGGAAAGGAAAAGGAGGAGTCTGGAAGGGTTGATAATATTTGTTCGCAGTGAGAGACAGGAAACAGAAAGATCACCAAGGGCAAATCCCGAAGATAAGTGAGAGGTGGTAGAAGTGCGTTGAACGTGCAGCCATAATCGAACAACTTCGCAACGTTCAATCGAATCTGGGGACTTCTTGCGGCTTGCGACTAACCTTCTTGCTTCGTCCTCTCTCGGCATCGACACCTTGAAAATTACTATTTTCGATTAAGTTGGCACGCCGTTTAATCTGGCCGTGGTTAATATGCCACATAACCACTGAGTTACACGAAGGATTCGCTATTGTTAAAAAGTTCAAGAACTTGAAGGAATCAATGCTGCCGTGTTAATTCAAATAGGTGTATCTGGTCGAAAGGTGATTTTGAGAAAAGTGTCTTTCGCCATTTAACAACCAGGCATCGATTTCACATACGTCCGGGATATGAATTGTTATATCTTCAGTTTTAACGCAGATACGACTCTCTTATTTGCTATACACACACAGGACAACTATTTTTCTGCTGCCTGACAGCGATGACTTGATTTAAGCGGAAGTTGCAGATATACCTTTTTGACGTAACAAAGGCAGAATACCAAGTCGAGTTACTTCGTAGATTGATATTTTACCTTCGATGAAACAATGCCGAGACTATTTGGACAGTTAAAGCCGTTATAGGATCAATTCGTTGATTGCTTCAGAGTACCAGATTATTCTGGTACATGATGTAGTTCAATTACGTGAAGAATTAAAAAATCCTCGAAGGTACGGGGGAAGAACGTCTCTTTGAGAAAGAACGTGACGTCTTAAATCGCGTAATTTCCAGATTTCCATAATTTGGATCATGTCAAGGTTGTCCTTATGCCTTAAACCGCCGTGTTTTAAATTAGCACCGCTAGGATCGGTTGAAAATCATACGAATCAATAATATTACTTTCGTAAAGAATTATTCAAAAGAAACGTACATTCGTTTAAAAAAAATAATTAAAAACATCCGACTATCGTTATTAATAATAAATAACCGAGCCTTAAATTTATCAACTCCAATTTCTGAGTGTTAAATACAATTCGTAAACAAAGAGCTGATAAGATGTAAATAAAATAACGAAAAGTATCGTGAACTTAAAAAAGAAAAAGAAACATCTAACCTAACAGCGAGATGCTTTTAAAGGAAAAAGCAGACGCGGCCTACTTGATAGAAAAATCATCTTCGAAACGGATTTAAAAAAAAATCGATCTTAATAACGAAAGAACTCGTAATAAATCATATAACTTGTATAGGATCAATAATTAGAAATGAACAAAAAAAAAAAAAAACGAAGTAATTTCGTTTGCAATAAACACGATCGTTTATTATGAACGAACAACAATTTTGTTTATAATTCGCGAACGAACGTAGTGGTAGTAGCAACCTCTTAGGTTGGAATTCAATGAAATATAGTAGAACCTCAGTTGTCCGGACTAATTGAAGGATAAGCGTGATCGAATAATAGAATAGTTACTTTCCTGATGTTTGTCAGCAATTTATTAAATATATATATATATATTGTTTATAAAAATTAATTCGGCACAAAGCACAAGTCCAGGTATAATAAATCTTACGGAATAAATACACGCTATCTCGAGAAACTCCGTATGTACGTCCTATGCGTCCGAATGCTCCTGCTGCGTTCGCTGAACTTCCTAGCTCGTCATTTCGTTTGTTTATTTATACTGGTCGGGGGGCAGTCGGAAAGTTTGAACTCGACTGCGTTGGACGGTTGAAAGTAACGGCGACATTGTTTTGCTCGGAGTTCATTACACCTTGCAATACCTGTGACCTAACGGAAACAAAACAACAACAGGGTTTGAATTGTCCTGCTCGCGTGCCGCTACATGTTCATCGTCGAAAAGATGTTCATCTTTGAATGTTCATATTTGTCATATATGTTTCAAGAAAGAACATAAATTATAACAATGGCGATACAAATAATGAAATTAAGTAAGATATTCATCTTTGAAAGCTCACCTTTGTTCTATATATTTCAAAAATGTAAATAAATATTGGGTTGACCAATAAGTAATATTGTACCTTTTGTACAAAAAGATAGTTACTTTGCGTTTTTATTGAGAAATTTTATTCGACAACGTAGTGCCCGTTTTGGTCCACAGACCAAATTCTGCCATCGTGTGGACGGTAATTCCACTCTTCCAAAACTCATCTTTTTCTGCAAGGAACATGGACACGTGCATTTTGCAGGCCCTCGAAGAATCAACATTTTTATCATTGAATTTTGTAAAGATCTGAACAAATGACGATTTAAGGATATTATGTCAGAGAAGAGATGAAAAGGTATCAGAGCACATCCCAATTGAATTGCCTCAGTTTTTGTCGAGTTTGCGACGAGACGTATGGTCTCTCATCGTCGTGGTGAAAAATGACTTCTTTTCTATTCGCTATTCCTGGCCATTTCTCCTCGATATTCACCTTTAGCCGGTCCAATTGCTTACAACATTTCGTAGAATTTATAGTCCCATCTTGTGCTAGGTGCTCGTAATACACTATTCCCTTGCAATGCCACCATACACACAGTGTGATCTTCTCAGGCTATAAACTTGGACTTGGAAGTTGTTAATGCAATTGATCTCGGCTTAGTCCAATGCCTTTCCCGTAGAGCATTATTGTAGGTGACCCATTTCTCATCAACTGTGACAATTCACTTTAGAAATGGCTCGTTTTCCTAACGTTTCAATAGCGAATCACAATTCTATCCGTTATGTTTCTTTCTGGCAATTTGTACGGAACCTAAATGCCATATGAGCCGTTTAATGCAAAAATGGTGTAAGTTGATTGAAAAAAGTTGATTACTAGATAACGAGGGATAAAATAAAATTTCTGTGAGGGTTCGAGTGGCTGATTTTCACATATTCTTCTATCCACGACTTATTATTATTACACGACTTTATTATTATTATCTTATTACACGACTTCTTGACAAAATAGAATGAAGGTTATGTTTTCAAGCTGTACTGTTACATCAAATAGGCAAAAGATTCATTTACACTACTTTTGCATCAAGCGTCTCGTATCAGGAAACTATTACAAGTTGATGTAAGTGACTTCGAAGGTTAGATTCCGCTTCTTTCAACATCTCAGTAATCTGTCTGCTTATCAACAGTCGATAATTTGTCATTATCAACTTCGACGGATGTACCAGGCTGTTTCTCTTCGCATACCGTGAAATCTCCACTACGAAATCTCATAAACAACCATTTGCATCACTTTTACACTTATAGCATCATCATCGTGCACATTGCAAACCTTTTTTGTCGTTTGTGTGGTGCTTTTTAACGACACAGTTTGCTCAATTATACGTCTCTTCGTCAGAGGCGCCATCAGCTGATTTATGACCCGATTTGTGAGGTTAGGAACACCACATCGTTATTTCGAGACAATAGAACGCCAGGTGGCGTGAAAACACGATGTTACTTATTGGCCAACCTAATAACAGCAATATCGATACTGAAATTAAATATGATCTGTTTGCTTGCCAAATCACGTAGCTGTTTTAGCAGATTTCATTCGGCAAAGTTACGTTTCTTTTCTGCATAGATTATGTCTGAGGACTCAAATGCTACAAAACGTCGAGGAATATCATTATTGCCATTATATTCGTTTCTCAATTAATTCGTTATTCGAAGCACACGTAACATTAGCACCATAGTCAATCGAAGAAGATGCATCGCGTTGATACCACTCTATTACGTCGGGGCTGTTGCAATAACCAAAACCTGGTATTGCGTTCAATGCAGAAAGAGTCTCTTCTACGTCTGTCGTAATATTATCTTCCACTTCGTCCTGTATAGTGTCTTCAACGTAATTCACTAGTTTTCTCCATGCTCTTCTCAGTGTCACACATCTGATGCCCAACCAAGCATATGCCATCTCATAACCGCAATCTTGTAAACCTAATTGCTTGTGAAGTTGTATCGTGTTCTCGCCAGTAGTGTCGTTGGTCGTTGACAAAAATTCCTATAGAGGATTGAACTTCTTACATGATGCTAAATGTGTTCGGATAATGGAACGTACGGGTAATAGGAAATTCGGATGACAGGGGTTCGGATGATCGAGGTTCTACTGTAATTAGGATGATAAGGGCGCAGTTTCGATTAACTAATTCTTGGTTAACTTTCTTTGCGAAGATAATTGTAACAGAGGTTATGTTTCTTTTTAATGTAACATTCAAAGAACGTACAACATGCAGTCGAAAAGTGTGGTGTTAATCGATTTCAGATTAATAAACGAAAGAGGAAAAATTACCTGCTAAAGTACCAAGCTGTTCAGTAGAAATGTCCCTTTAATTACTTACATGAATTTTTATATCTTTACTAATTTACATTTTCAAACTTTCAACTTTTTATTGCATGATATTGATAAAATATTTGATCGTAAAATTGAAACATTTTTTTACCAGATATTATGATATGCTTGAGTTTTGCAGTTCCATTTTTGACCAATCTTTTTCTGGGATATTGTCTGAATTAATAGAATTTTTAAACTCACAAGTTATGGGCCAAGTTATGCAGAAGGCCATCAGTTCTCGATGATTTGCACTCGAGTTTTAGTTTCACGATTTTAACTTTAAAAAGATAGCTTTACCTCTGTTGAATATATTTTATTTCCTGTTGTTGTTTTACAATTTTACCATTTTCAATGGCTTATTTAGTAACATAGTTAATATATGGTTTGGATGTTTTCTGCAGAATAATTATAAGCCTAAAATGGGACTGTGGTTGTGGTAGTTTTAATAATCGTACAGTTGTAAGAGTTGTTTCATGAGTTGGTAATCTTTTGCAAAGTGAGCTTCACAAAATTATGGGATCCGTGATACGTTTAACTAATCTTGTTGACATTTCAAGGACTGCCAGATTTCTGCGTAACTTGGCCTAATCGCATCGTCGTCTGTTTCCTAATTTGACAAATTATTATTTTAGTATTTTAGCAAATTGTAGTTTTTCCTCGCCAGTCGATAAACGTACCAAGGGGTAATTGTAACAAGACGTTGATTACTATTTTTTCGTCAGACTTTACTAGAAATTCTCCATCTGTGTAAACTGAATAACGAAAAAGGTAAAACAAAAGGGACAACTACCCGGGATGTGAGGGTAGCAATTTTCGTATAGGAAAACGCCTAAAGTTTAAACAAGTAAATAGGTAAATAAACCGAAAAATTAAAGAAATGAAGAATATATATATATATACATACATATAAATATAAATGAAAATAAATAAACAAACAAATAAATTCATATGTGTGTATGTGTGTGTATACAGAGATACGTATATGTATACAAATGCATACGCACGCATATAATTATATTGAATTATTATTAACGAGAATAGATGAGAACTTATATATTATTTGTTGGGAGAGCATATATTATACGATATTTAATATATTTAGGATATTTATTTGTTGATTTGGTGATAATATATATATATATATATAACATAGAAAAATATATATATATATACATAAATAGGTAAATAATTTTTACAAGGCCTATGACAGGTTGAAACAAATGAAACATGGTATTTCAACGGGGAAAAATCGATTGATCACTTTCGCGGTTTTAATCCGGATTATTTTAACTTTACCGCTTAATTCGTTGTTTTAATCTGAAGCAATTAGAAACTCGAATTAAATAATAACATTTGATGTATATACAAAGTTGCGCAGTATCCTTCTCCTTATCGAGATCGATTCGTCTCCATTTTCTAACCTAACTTCAACCTAACCTCAATCTATTTTCTAATTTCTGTTATACAGGTTACCTTGAAAATGAAATTGATCGCGGAATTAATTAGAAATTGTTATTTTATCGAATTTGTGGTGTATTTGCAGTGTTGGGCAAAACTTTGTTTAACTATTGAGCAGTAAATAGAAAATTGAAATTTGAACTGTTCGAATTGCGAGTAAGAATGAAATTTCTTAGAAAATGGAAGTCACTTGAACAATGCGAGAAATAATTTCTCTATTATTTCTTATTTACCAATGAAATTTTATTTTTAGTTTGAATTTAATTACACGATAAACGATCATGTATAAATAAATAATTTTCCATTCTTGTTTTGTCCATTTGCTTCTGAAACTACTCGCCTTTCAAACTAATTGTCAAAAGACCTGTTTAATTTTGTCACAACTAACGAACATGATTAAAAATTACAAACTGTCGTTTACAGTAATGTATTTGTTAGTAAATCGTAAATAAAAATAAATAAAAATAACGAATACAATTGTACCTGTAAATAACAATTAACTTGATTACTTTATAAA